TATATATATATATATATATCCTTTATATATATTTATATATATCACTTATATATATTTATCCCTTATGAACTGATGAGTTGAAATTGTATACATATTAATGTGGAATTGTTACCTTGATATTATTGATATTTGGATGAGTTTTATGAGATTTTACTGAGTTTTATGAGACTTTACATGATTTTCATTCATTGTGCAAAAATGGATTTGAATGCATAAAATAAGAGTTTTGAGGATTTATTGAATATTTTCTAAAAGTTGAGGGATTGAATTGCAAGAAGAAGGGTGGCCATTTGGAACCTAAATGAATGAATCTTGAGTTTTGGGATCTAAGTGCTCATAGTACAAAATCTGGAGGACCAGATCTGCTATTTTACCATTGAGAAAATTACAAAAGAGGGCAAAAACCCGACACGGGTGTAGTGTCGACACGTAAACGGGGTGTCGACACCATGCGTTAAGCGTCCAGAATCAGATTCTGTTTCCTATTTTGTGTCAACACGTCATCTGAAGTGTCAGCACCATGCGATCAGCATCCAAAATTTAGTTTTCTATTTCTGTTCCAAATCCTACTTCCATTTCAATTAGGGTTTCTGAAATCCTATAAATACTCATCCAAATTCAAAATTAGATGAGTTTTGAGAGGCTAGTGCCAGCCCTCTTTTGGGCACTCTTGGAGGTCAAGATAGAGGATTCATCAACGAGAAGACCAAGGATTTCAATTACCTCAAATCAGGCTTTGTTTTTCTTTAGACATTCTTATGTTCATAACTATGATTTCAAATTTTATTATTTTTATTATGAATTAATTTATTTTATTAAGGTTATGATGTAGCTTAATCAATTCAATATAGATTTAGTGATTTTATGCTTTCAATTAAAGTTATTTGTACGAGGAGTTTATATTATTGAACTTAATGCATTGGAAGTCTGATGATAATCTTTCAATTGATTTAGTGATTTATGCATAAACTTGAGAAAGAATTGCGTAGATTAAACCAATAATAATATAAACCGTATGCCAAACTATGAGACCGAGAGTTAATTAACTCACATGTGGTAATGGAGGAAGAGAAGAGGGTTAGGAGCTCACCCTTCTTAAGTTAGAGGTTTCCATAAAATTTAATACTCATAAGTTTGTTTAAAATTACATAGAGATATGATTAATTTAACAAACAAGTGAAGGATTAACTTGACTTGAGAAAGCTAGTTA